ATTTAGTCCTATTCTAATGTCCATTTTTCTGGCGACCAACCCTTCATTATCTACCCTGCAAATCGGGAGATCCCCCCTCTCGGCTCCATCGAAAGTGCTATTACTTCCTCAAGGGGCTCCTAGTCCTGAATTTCAATTCTGACTGAATCAAAACCATTGCACCCGCACGCAGACTACCAATTAAAGTGTACCTGAGGATCTGTTGAGGTTGGCCGAACCTATTAAGGACCACCGCAATGAAGGCGTGGGGAATGGCATAATTACCCCTACAGGTCCAACCATAATTAAAAGTTAGACTTTCGACACATTATGTTTGTTTTTTTTAACTTTTTTTGGTTTAAGTAACGGACGAGTGGTTATCGCTGCCGCTTACCCTCCTTTCTTTCTTGCTTCTCCTTTCTTTCGGTATAAGTGCCTTGTTTGTGGTTGTCCCATTTTCTGTCGAGTTTCCTAAGCGTCAACGCATTTTAAAAGGCGCTGGCTGTGGCTGTGGGTCTGCCTTGCCCGTAACGGAAGTAGTTTAGTTCGATTTGCTTGACTCTCATAAAAAAGTACACAGCAATGTGTCGGCGCCATGGTGAATGTTAGCAACTTCACCGTACTCACCGTGAGCACCACAAGTGTGGCATACTGCGTAGCCACACGGGCCCTACAGGGCCCGTCCCGGACATTCAGCCTAAAAGCCTAAAACTTAGGGCTTCCAGGCCCCGTTCATTTCAGCCTGGATGCTGAAAAACGAGGGCCTGCAGGCCCTACCTCGTTTCAGCTTATTTCTGGGTCTTTTCAGACCCAGAGTTTTCAGCCTGAAACGGAGGGCCATTTTCAAGCCCTCATTGTTTCGACCTGCCCCTAAGACTCAGGCACGGAAACAGGGATGCGGAACAGGCCCAAAATAGCCTGTTCCTCACGTACTCGAGCAGGAGCTGCAGCTGCAGCCCCTGCCTCCCTTCGGCAGGCTCAAGAGGCACACCCGTAGTACATAGGAGGTTCCCATGCACTTCACGGGTAGGTAGTGTCAGTAGGCAGTGGTAGTCTTCAGGATTCGGCCGCA